ATACTTCCCCACCATCAGACTCTGCTTCGCTCAGACGGTTTAGCAACGCTAGTGCCTCCTGTACGTTCATGAGTCTCTTTCTTTTGTCTATTTTGGAAATATAACCGGCTCTCTCTATCTATCTATCTCTCTCTCTATCTCTATCTACAGTAGTAGACAAAAGGCGTTGCTATAGCAACACGTCATGTTTATGTTTACGCGCGAAATCAATAGCGCGAGGAGCGCTGCATTTCTATGAGGTGAATATTACCCGCTGGCGGAAATAGGTATAAATAGCCTTTTTTCTGGCGATTTTTCAATCTGACTTCATATTGACAATTTTTAACAACACAGGGTGTTACATAACACACTTTCAGGAAAAGTCACGGACTGGGAGACTTTAATATTTTATTGAAAAAAAGTTACATACAGTAAAAAAACAGGTGCGGGTAAAATGTACCTGCTGGCGGTTCTAGTGTTAAAAGATAAAAACGTATTGGTGTTAGCCAATAGTCTTATTTATAAAAAAAAAAGCAGGTTTTGACTATGGAGCTGACCTGCTTATCGAATTTAAAAGCGCTATTGAAGGTCACTCGATGAGTACAAAAATGCTCTTGACATTTTCTCAGTTTACACGAGCCGATCTTATTTTTCTTAAAGTAACCTCTGTCTTGTTGCACCAACACAAGAAACGCTTTCCCTTTTGAGCTCTTTCTTTCAAACTCTTCTTTGGTATTTTGAAGAGGGCAATAGATGAAAATGCTCTCCCTGACCTCTCGGAGTGTTCGGTTGAAATATTAATTGGCACCCTTGAGTACATTCATTTACATAAAAATAAACTCTCTCTGAGTATGGATGTGGCTATTAAATGCATGCAGACTTGCTGCCACAGACAAAGACTGACGGCAAAGAACAAGCCATTCAATTAGAAAATGGAAAATCCATCCACCTTAAACTATTTGGTTCTTCCCCAGTACCTTTTATAGTAATTACAAAATATACAATTTGCAGCTATCAATATGGTTTTCTGTTGGTGCTATCTCTGAATGATAGTTTCATTTTATGCTCCAGTGCCCTGAAAGACAGCAACAAATACAAATAAAGCTTATAATTTTCTCTATGAGATTATGATATTGTTTTGAGTGGACACTTAAATCACTGTGAGGGAAAATAACAGTAATAATCACATTATATGTAACCAGAATCGTTCCAAGCACGTTGCAAGATGACAGCATAATTATTTTTTCAAAGAAGTGTATTCAAAATGATACACAGTGAGTGTAAAGCATAATGCAACATGCATGCAACCAAGGAAGAATCACAGTATCCTTTGTTGTTGAAACCTGTGAGACACCGACCCTTTAGCGGTTGGATTTTCAGGGAAATAATCGACCACGAGAGGAGGTAGAATTGCAAACCATACACACACGAGACAAGAGCTATATTCAGAGCTCTGCTGACTTGGCTACAATCTTTCATTGTTGCTGTTGTATGATTGGTGTTTGGATACGGTATTTAGCATCTATAGCACCTCCGCTTTTAGGGTTGACATGGACCCAAACGTCGCTCGGAGGTCCCCCGGGGGTTGTTGCGGAAGTTGCTGCACTAGCTAACGCTGCACTAGCTAACGCTACATTAGCAAAACAAAGGCTAATTTATTTTGCAAAAGGTGCAGCGGGCTTCAAACACGTTCCCCTCTACTGGTTTCCACCAAGCACTAAATTCGATGTTTTCCAACCAAATACGGTTGAACTTACACTTCCCCATATTTATTTGTAAGTAGATTCGAAGATACCTGAGTTTCTGACTGCCCTAACTGAAGCTTGGTTGCTAGGTTACTAGCTGGGTGTTCTCCGATAAGGGGCCGGGGGAAACAAAGTTAGTGATTACTAGTTCCATGTTGATTTATTTCAATACAAATTGTTGGGTCGAACTGAAAGGCTATTACCGTACTGGTTACTTTGCAGCCCGGACATTTCCCCCAAAACACATTTAGACGCGATCTCAACACAGAAGTACCTTTCAAATCCGATCATTTTAAGACCTTCTAAATCATATTTAAGACCTTTCTTATTGTTTTGGTCATATTTAAAAGACCTTTTTAAGGCCTTAAATTAAGATTATCAAATTTAAGACTTTGTAAGACTTTTTAAGACCCTGCGGGAACCCTGTAAATAGTTTGAGAATTGCATTTATATTTTAAGCCAAATATTGACAAATTGAAAATGTTGCACATTCAATATTTAAGATTAAACAGCTTTCCATTTTCATATTTATTTGATCATAAAATACCCATACAAGTATGTGAAGATTCAAATGCTGATTGGATTATTACATTCTAATATTTGCTTAAAAAACATTCCTAGGTGGAACTTCATTTTAAAGTCTCCATTATCATTTCTCCATCGTAATGTCGATGTGGTATCTTGTAAATTCTATATAGCAAGTCATTATTTCAACTTGGACATTTTGAACTTCTGAATCTCATATATTTGCAAAAGTAAATGTATTTTCATTTACTTTTTAATTTCTCTGGTTAATTTAGAGGGCCACCATAAATATGGAAAAAGGAGGTGTTTTCAGCTGCCTCCACACAAACTCGCCATCTTTATTGTCTCTGGACAGCTGGTTCAGCTGCTTTCTCTACAAACTGCTGACGAGTCTTTACCATCTCATTCTGCTGACTCGGAGCTTCACTGCAGAGCTCACAATGGACGCCTGGCCTGACTGCTCTCAGGTTCATCGTCAAATTGACAGTACAAGCTGCAAAAATATCTGGTCAATTTAAATAATAATAATAAATACAAATCAAATATTTGTTTGTCTTGCTCTGTTGCCGGTTAACTGCTGTCTTTTAGAATAAATCAGGTGGTAGTCTTCTAGTTCAGACCAACAGTGAATGTATCTACTACCTAGTTGTGTGTGTGTGTGTGTGTGTGTGTGTGTGTGTGTGTGTGTGTGTGTGTGTGTGTGTGTGTGTGTGTGTGTGTGTATCAGAGCCTGTTATATGTTCTTCCTCTGAGCCACAGAACTCAATTGTTTTCTAAAAACCTTTAAAAGACACTCAGGGAGGCACACCGTTTCCCAGGGCCGCATTTTTCTTCAATATCATGTGCACACACTCCCCGCTTCTGACACAATCCCACACACACTGTCCTGCTGCCACTAACACTCACTGGAGCACCTAATATGGATTAAATTGGGACTAAAAATAGTCATGAAGAAATTTGCTATTTCATCCTGCTTTTTTAATCAAATTTACAGTGAGCAGCTATTTAGGGTTTGGGTTTGCTCCCAGCTGCATATTTGTTGTAGTTAATGAAAGATTTCAGTGGAAGTTTTGTTTTTTAAATAGAGATATTGTTGATACTTTTACCTGCTATTGTTGCCCTTATATCAGGACACAGGTTTACATTAATCCTTGAATTTGAAATAACGGTCAGAACTTGTCTCTGCAACTATATTCTAAATAACTTTAGCTTTTTGGATATGAAAAGAGATGACCATCATCTGTACACATATTTAGCATCAGGAGAGAAACGCTGCCGATTGGTGGACACTGACCGGTGTATTCCACCTCCACGTCAGCGAGGGCCTTGAGCGTGTTCTCGACGGTGACACTGTCGATGTCCAGCGCTCCCACGCCATCGTACACCTCCTTGGTGTTGGCAATGAGTTTGTCGGTGAGCTGCTGGATCTGCTCGGTGCTCAGGTCCCAACGCAGACGGTTCTCGGAGCAGACCGGGATCTGGCTGCCATTCACCGCCTCATCTGGAACAAGAAGAGGGACAGGTGAGCAGGGTGGGGGGGTTACAACGCATGGCAGTGATGGAAGAAGCACACATGATGTACATGTCTATAATAATATCAAGATGAAAAGCACTCATAGGGCCAAATGTTTCACAGTGTTTGATTCTAATATATATCATATGATTGGAGTAATGTTGATATGGATGCCCCATTCCTGATTAGTTAAACATCTTCAGATATTATACAAAGCTCAAGGACTGAATAAACACTAGTGGATGTTGTTATCGGCCAAAACCAAGTCAGATCCTCCCTACAGAAAGATCATGTGGAAACCTTTAGCTCTACATATTAAAATAGAATAGAATATGACAAATACTGTATACTATATTCAGATTTAGTCATATTTTACTTTACACAAGCACCCTGTTAATCAGGGAACAATTAGTAAGTACAGAAAAGTGTTGTTTAGTGGATCAGAAGTGTGCTGAACTCCTGTAGAACGCGGACAATTAGAAACTATAACGCATTTGTCAACAAACAGCTTAATATCATATTCGCATTCTTTTAAATGGAGCTTTGTACATTGTACAATGTTCATTTAATTAATTTAGGAAGTACATTTACTGGAGAGTCGTTATTAGTAATCCATCTATAATCCACGCAGGCAATCTGAGGTGGAATTCCCGTTAGGAATCACATTCAGTTAGTTAGGTTGGTAAAGCTAACAGCTAACATGCTAGACAAAAAACAATGAGAAAATCAATACAGAACTGTGGAGAGATTAGCCACTATTAAAACACCAATTGTATTTGTTGTATACTAAACTGACAGTTTAACCGTGTTTCTAGGTCATTTAAATCAACTAATATTTACTGTCTCGGGTACAAGATTTACAGTTACAGCACATAAGCTAAATTAGCTAACGTAAGCGCAGAAACTAGCTCAAACAGATCAAAGCTAGCTAATTCGATCTAAATGATCACAGACACCATCCACCAGGAGACGTGGCGGTCACAGAGACAAATTTACATTTAAATGAATCAGTCAAATAAAAAATGTAAGGACATTGTTTACCTGTCGGCCCCATGGTTCAGATTTTGAATGATGGTTCGTTAGGTCCGTTGTGGGGTTAGTGCTAGATCGGCGGAAGTGACGTAATCGTGACAGCACATCTGGTAGTAAAAGTAGACACATTCAATTGTGCATGGGCTCTCCGCGACACTGGAGTCCTGCAGGAATCCGGAGGACAGTGAACAGGAGTGAGAGGGAGCACACTCCTAAAAAATCTCCCCCCTTTTTTTAAATAAACCTCGTTCACTGTCCTCCGGATTACAGTGTGTCACTGGGTGTTTCTCAATCGCGAGGACGCTGGTTTGTATGGAATGCCATTTAAGCCAAAATTAAATAAATAAATAAATACATCAATAATTAAATAAATACATATATATAAATATGCCTATGAAATAAATTATGAAATAAATAAATGAGGCAATAAATATGTATACATGTACATTTAAATACACATTTATTTATTTCATGGGACTTTTATTTCATAATGAGACATTTATTTCAAGAGACTTTTATTTCATAATGACACATTTATTTATTTCAAGAGACTTGTATTTCATGACACATTTATTTATTTCAAGAGAATCGTATTTCATAATGACATATTTATTTATTTCAGATGACTTGTATTTCATAATGACGCATTTATTTATTTCAGGTGACTTGTATTTCATGATGAGACATTTCCATTCCTTATATGCAAA